TTGTGATGGACAATGCAAGGGTCTGTTTGAAGGCTGGGAAGATGGCGGAGGCGAAGTACCCTGAGATTTTCAATGCGGGCTGCACAACCGATGCTCTGGACTTGGCACTTGAAGATATGTACAAAAGATTAAAATGCACGAAGGACATCGTCGACAAGGGAAACCAAATGGGCAAGTTTGTGATGTTCGATAGAATTGTAGATGCCCAACTCAAACGCCCAACCGTCACGACGTTCGCAACAAACTTCAAAATGTTGGAGTTGTTGAAAAAAGGGAGGACTTCACTTGAGCTTTGCGTCAGAAACGTGACATCATGGTGGGTTGACAAGTTCATGAGGGTTAAGCAGGTGGCGACCTTCAACGTTGTCACGCGCATCATTGTGGATTAGGTTGATAGAGCACTAGCTTTCAAGGAGTCTGTAGTCAAGCTGTTGTGTTTGGTGGACGGTCCCAAAGCAACCATCAATAAAGTGTACTTCGGCATTGACGAGATTATGGAGCAAATGCAGATCCTCCTATGAAACTTTCGTGTGTGAGCGCGTGCTTCAAGACCCCCCCGTCGCGCTCAAACACGCTCAAAGCGCGCGCACGCTCGTCCAAAATAGAGCGCGACTGTCATGGGGTTGCGGGAGGGCAGGGGATGTCATGGGGGATGTCATTGAGCTCCGACCCCACGCTCAATCAGCGCATGGTAACGCAGTCCTCGACTATCTGATGCAGGACGAAAAGGTAGTTGTGGTGAACATCCATTCGACCGATTTGCATTGCACTGCGGCCTTCCTCGATCCAAAGCATCGGTCGCAAACCTTGCGGGATACAAAAATTCACAAGTTTTCTCAATGTCTGACTCTATTCTTAGGCGCCGCCGAAGTCATCGAACGAATCAGCAAGCAAGTCAACACTTGGGTCTGCAGACTCCACACATTCAAGACGAAGAACGGGAAGTATCAGGCCAAAGTGCAAAAACCAACACTCTGGCGGGAGGCATTCGGGGGACTACTGGACCTCCTCCAACCATGGAACATCAAGCGTCTCGGCCAGACGAGCTCTTCGACCATGTGCGAGCGAAAGTGGACCTTGCACGAGCTCATATACGAACAACGACGCACCAAACTCTTGCCCGAGAGACTAGCGAAGTTGGTTTACAACAACCACGCGGAGGGCACGTGGAGAGGCTGAGCACACCCACATTCCTTGAAAGGACAATGAGCTTGCCAAGACCGATGTCGAGGAGTAGTACAAAAATTGGACTAGGCAGGTAGTCAAGGGGAGACCCGCTGATGATGCCGCGGAGGCGGCTACGGATAATGATGATGGAGAAGGCCCTATGGCTAAAGAACAAAGAAGAGGATGACCTCGCAAATGAGGACGACGACATCGCCCAACTTGGTTCACTGCAGCGCACTTTCCACGCGAACACGAAGTTGGGGAAGCACTCCTCTTTCACCTGCAAAGGTTGTGAAGGTTCCAGCCAAGGTTGCAAAGAAGACCGCACAAGAGGAAGAGGATGCAGCCAAGGCAGCAAAAGCAACCGATGCTGCAAAGGCGCCGGAAGATGCAGCAGCCGAGGCAGCAAGGCCCAAGAGGAAGCGTTCGCCTCCGAGCCTCTTTTTGCCAGTGGTGGCTTAACATGTGCATGGGATGAGGTAGGGTAGTGGTAGTAGCTCTGTGGTGGAATGGGTAGGCTGCAGCCTTCGAGCTGCTGAGTCTTTGGCAAGGCCCGCGGGGCCATTACGGCTTCCCTACTCCTTGGAATTATTGTTTTCCTTCCCGGTCGCCTTCCTTCCAGAGCTGTCCATTTGTCCGATACTCCTTAGCAGATTTAGACTTCCATAACCACCGCCCTGCTCTGTATCAATCAACACGCTTTGTGGTGTCTGGGTTAGCGCAGTTTGGCACCGTACCTCGACTTTCGGTTCTGCTTACCAAAAATGGCCCACTTGGAGCTTTCATTGATCCTCGAGGTCTCAAATCATTCGCTTCACCCAAAATCTTACCTATTTTTAAAGTTTGAGAATAGGTCGAGGGGGGGTGTTTCACACCCTAGGCCTCTAATCATTCGCTTTACCCGATACGCTTTTTCATAGCTCCCTTGCTGCCTCTGCCTCACCACCACCCAGTGCGCCCCCCCAGCTGCTTGCTAGACACTGTGCCTACCTTTTACTTGGCTTTGTGCTTCGTTGTCTACGTTCCTCTCTCCTCCCCCCCCCCCCCTCCTTGTCCCTTGTGCTGTCACCTGCCTGGCTGGCCACTCGCAGCAAGGTTTGAAGTAGACAGCTATGACTTGTGTCGATGTTTTGTTGTTTCCAGGTACCGAGGATTCAACCTCCTGATGTTGTGTTGTTCACGTCCCCCATGTCATCCGTCTTACCAGTTGGCTTTGTGGACTACGCACTTTGAGGTCACCATGGTCTTACCCTGCCCCTCCACCCGCCCCTGAGCTTTTTTTTTTTTTTTTTTTTGAAAAGCCCGACAGGCGGCTGGCTAGGGGAGGGCGATAAGAGCAGAGCCCTACCCAGCAGCCTTCTGGTTGCTACAGATCTATTGGTGGGGAGCTGCACCTGCTGAAAAACAGGTCCAGCGTCCATGTTGCTTACAATCGTTTACCAATTATGCTAATCGTCGTCATTGTCATTGTGAACGTCTATAGTGTTTCCTGAATGTATACACTACCTCTGTAGTTTAATTCTCTCAATGGACATATATGGTAATTCAAAATTAAGCCGCCTTGTTGTGTGGATGCGCACACACCGTGTCCACAGCACCCGCAGAATCAGACATATGCATGTGTGTGCATTAAAAATTTTCACCGCCACAGCCCATTTTCCACCCAGATGAGTAGATGCAATGTCAACGCAGCTTTACCTCTATTGCAGACAATGAAGCACACTTGAGATTACTCATTCCACCAATGAAACAGCAGTTTTACCCCTCTACCAAGCAACATGGAGCAGAAAAGATCTGTCATATGACTCATATCCCTTTCTTGACTATGTTTCTTTTCTTGTGTGTGTGTGTGTGTGTTGTCATGTTGCTAAGCTCCATAACAAAGGCATCACTGTGCCGGACTGTTTTTGGTCCACTTTTCACCAACAACTCATCAGCAGGATGGTGTTCTCCTGTTCGCAATAAACAACTCCACAGAAAAAGTATGACTGTGCCAGACGGTTTCGTCGGACTTCCACCTACTCATCAGGAAGATCTGTTGTCATGTTCGCTATACACAACTCCACAAAAAAGGATTTAAAAAAAAAACGAAAAAAAAAAGAAGTACGACTATGCTGGACTGTTTCGTCAAACTTTTACCGAATCGTTAAGTGTGTGTGTGTTCTCACGTTCCCTCCCTATACACCACGAAAAAAAGCATGTTGGTGCCAGACTTTCACCGACTCACCAGGAGGTTGATGCACAACTCCGTAAGAAAGGCACGGCTGTCACGGGCTGTGGGCCTCGCTCCACTCCACAGCAGTGACAGCACTACATGCATTTGGAGGCTTTCTCAGGTCCAGAAAACATTGGAATCGTCTGAATGCATCTGGTCCAGAAAAAGTCCAAATGCACGTAGTGCTGGGGAGTAGAGTGAGGCCCTGTATCAGACTGTTCCATCCTACTTCCTGCGACTCATCAGGAGGTTATGCGTTGTGTGTTGTGTGTTGTGTGTTGTCATGTTCGCTATACACAGCTCCACAGAGAAAAGCACGACTGTGCGAGACCTTTTTTGTTGGACTTCCACCAACTCATCAGGATGAACCCCAACAGTCTGCCCACAATGCATTTGACTGATGAATAAGGACTCACCATGTCGCCCAGAGTTATCGATGCCCCTGAGAAAAGTGGCCGGCTTTCATCACACCGACCTGGGCTTGCAATCCTAGCAGACTGTCGGTCCAACCCCTGACAAGAATGGCCGTAAGTCAGAGAAAATTTATCTGACACAGCCATAAAACCCACTCTGCACCCCCCCTCAGCCATACTTACCCGATGGCACAACCGGCACGGTCCTGACTCTAGCCACACTTGTCCACCTGAACGGAAAGCTTAGCAAGGCCTTGCTGTGTGTTATCATGTTCGCTGTACACAAACACAACTCCACAAAAAAACTTGAAAAAAGCTAGGCTACCAGCCGGGCCGCCCGGGTCCCGGGTGGCCAGCCCGTGCAAGGACCAGGGAAGGTCCCAGCAAAAAAAAAAAAAAAAAAAAACAACGGAAAAAAACTATGTTATGCAGAAAGATAAAATGAACAACTTTTGCCTCAGGGTCACATCGAAATTCTTCACCAAATTTAGAATAAAAATTATTTTATTTCTTTATATTTTTATTTTTTGGCCCGGCCGGGCAAGTGACCCCGGGGCACTCTGGTAGCCTAGGAAAAAAGGCATTACTGCGCCAGACTGTTTCGTCGGACTTTCGCCGACTCATCAGGAGGTTCATGTGTGTGTGTGCGAGAGAGAGAGAGAGAGAGAACAGGTTTTCCAGAAGGTTCTCCATGTAGAGAGAGGGTGAGGAGAAAAGGGAAGGCCGAAAGCGTGCATCATTGAACAGCATGAGTTGCGAGCGACGGGACAATGGGATGAACAAGCAATTAAAAGGCAGATGTGACAACAGGGGAAAATGCTGGCAAGTGATGTGACTGGAGAAAGAAAGAGAAGGGGGAGGGAGAGAAACATATTAACCCTAGCCATCACCCCAGTTGTCAAAGACTTTAGAAATTCGTAGAACAACGCGAGAGAGAGAGAGAGAGAGAGAGAGAGAGAGAGAGAGAGAGAGAGAGAGAAGACAGAGAGAGAGAGAGAGAGAGAGAGAGAGAGAGAAGAGAGAGAGAGAGAGAGAGANAGAGAGAGAGAGAGAGAGAGAGAGAGAGAGAGAGAGAGAGAGAGAGAGAGAGAGATTCAGAAGTTCTTCTGTAGAAAGCAAGCGAAGTGGAGAAAATGAATCAGCGAAAACAGTGTGAGCACTAGTTTTGACCACGAGGATGATGGAATGCCTGGGCAAGCAGAAGTCAGGTGTGGCAACTCACAGAGACGGGGAGCTAGGCGGGGAGGTGGAGAGGTGGGATAGGGAGGCAGTTAAGTGTATACACAGTCAGGCAGGTAAAAATACTATTTTTGAAAACAAAAACCTGGGCATCTGTAATACTTGTGAAAACTGCCGTCCCTGATGGAGGCTTCAGCCACTATCCCTGTACCTTTCCTTGCACAGGAAGAAGCCCCACCAGCTGGGCAAACAGCATGCGCACCTGCATACATTGCACCTGAACTGACTACTGCTCCGGTGTCCTGTGAACCAACTTTTCAAAAAGCCAACCTCCATGGCTGCAGCTTTTGTTTCCTATACGGCCATCCATCAAAGAGGACCACGAGAAGTCTCACTACAAAATTAAGAAAGAAAGAAAGAAAAAAAGGGGCAAGCGCCCATGTACACAAGTCAAGAAGGAGATGAAGACGAAGACTACCTCTGTTCTACAGTTGAAGGGAGAGATTTTTGTCCGCGTCCAGGCACACAACCTCGCAAACTCGTTGCCAGACATATTTTGGGTCACCTACCTCGTGCACTCAAGCGCGCCCTTGTAATCCCAGTCGACTTGATCCCATCGCTGAAAACCAGTGCTCCGCCCAAGGACTCTGCCTGTGCACTGCCACGCTGAAAACATACCAAAAGAGTTGAATTGGTCGCTTCCCGAGACAGGTTAAGCAGAAGCACAACGCTGCTTCTTTGTCCTGTTCAGGGATAACGATGCACAACGCACACGACTACTAGTAATCGCGGCAAACAGACTTCAAGCAATCATCTGCCGAGCAATTTCGATGGCCAAATGTCATTTTCCTATCCATCAATCCATCCACACACACAGTGATCTTGTGACCCATCAGTACTCCACCACACTTACCTGGAGAGGCTCAGCCTGCAGGCCCAAAGATGCTGGGAGCACTAGGGACCACCTTGCTCGCCACAGTTTGGTATTCTGGACGCGTATTGATTTGATTCACGCTCCTCACCTGCTTTGTAACAGTAACATGTGTATTCACTGTGGTCTACCATTCAGCCACAGTCGCCACCTTCAGTCTTTGATCACGATCATGTGCAGATGATTTCCGGCGGCGTCGGAAAAGAAGCGCTAAGGTACAATACGCCAATCACGGAGAACCACATGTCATCCCAGAATCACCAATGTGCATGCATCTTCCAGCAGAACCTGCTTCACAGGGGATCCACTTCTTTTTTTTGCGATCCGCATGCCCACCACAATCTCGATCTGCCCATACTGCTCCATATGGCATATAGATCAAGACATCAGTCACACTCTTTTCCCCCGCACGGTCTCTCCGAAATCGCTTGGGCAGCATGGCTTCTCATCAGTGTATCTTTGTACCCCCTGAATCAGCTCACACGCTAGGGAGCTGACCACACCGACACCAACAACATCAATCACACTCTTTCCCTCCGCACGGTCTCTCCGAACTCGCTTGGACAGACATCAGTCACACTCTTTTCCTCCACACGGTCTCTCCGAACTCGCTTGGGCAGCATCGCTTCTCATCAGTGTATCTTTGTACCCCCTGAATCACTCGCATGGGCAAGTTCCACCTTGTGTTCCTACCCTCGGCAACTTTTCAGTCTGGAGAGCACAGATGGCTGTCAAGCTACACCTGCATGCAACGTACGCTCTTCCTCGAAACTATCATCGCTCTCGTCCGCTCGCTTTTCCAAGCTACACCTGCATGCAATGTATGCTCTGCCTTGAAGCTCTCGTCGCTCTCGTCCACACACTTTTCCAAGTGGCCTAGAACAGAGCAGCTGCTCAATGCGAAGCCCGAAGACCATTATCGAAAAGACTAAAACAGACTCGTGCGATGGCATATCCACCAAGTGCTCGACATCTGCATGCTCTCTCGTCATCGTTATCGGTCAAGCGAGTACGGTATCCTCCATGGGTTTTTGGTTTTTCCCGATCCTGACCCAAATGCGAAACCTCTGCGAGGATGTTACCGAGGAAGACAAAACAGAATCAGGGCACTGTCTAAGACAAGGTCACGTGAGGCGACTACAGTGGTGCGGCGGCCTGTGTCTCGAACAGCTGTTCATCCTCCTGCCGTCCAAACAAGAACCGCTAAATATGACCCACGCTCTCTCCTGATTCTCATGCAGAAAGTCCCAATCGCATGCCTCCTATCTGACCGCCAGACAACACTTCTGGACATGTCCATGCTGCTTTGCAGTTGAGACTACGACTAGGACTTTGTCGTATGGAATCATCAATACTTGCCTTCTCTCTGCCAGCCAGACAATAACCACTAAATATGACCACGCTCTCTCATGTTTCGCATGTAGAAGATGTGCATTGAGGCCACACTCACACCACCACTTTCCTAAAGGTATCTGGCCACGATCGCCGCCAGCCCTGGACGCATCTAACAGCAATCACGACGAGACTCGAGTGAGTATATGCCCTGAGGGACCTCAATATGATTCCTCCTCTCAATAGGATGAATTCCTCTCCAGAGCTAAGTCCAACAACTGCAAAAGGATGAATTCCTCTCCAGAGCTAAGTCCAACAACTGCAAACCAGCCATCGCATGCAGACGACGTGCACTCTCAACCAAATGCGGCGGCTTAAACAGCCAGTACATGGCCCCAGCGTTGTGCGGATTTGCTCGCCAGCTACTCCGAAAATTTCGCGCCTCCGGCCTATCGGACCATAATGGCTGGCCGTGCCAGCCAAAAAAAAAAAAGGAAAAAAAAAAAAAGTGCTGCTGGCAGTTCAGAAAAGCTTGGCATCGCATGCAGTACACGGCCCCAGTACATGGCCCCAGCATTGTGCAGATTTGCTCGTCGCGTACTCCGAAAATTTCGCACTTTCCACCGAATGTCGCAAGCTTAAACCGCCAGTACATGGCCCCAGCGTTGTGCGGATTTGCTCCTCGCATACTGTGAAAATTTCGCGACTCAGGCCTATAGGACCACAATGGCTGGCGGCGCCAGCCAAACAAGGAAAAAAAAGTGCACCGCTGGCAGTTCGGAGAAGCTGGCGCGCAGTGCAGCGCCTTCAGGCCCGGGTGTACTGGTGGTGTAAAGAGTGAGGTCCAGGAATTCCACATTGAATTGCTGCAGACTGGCATGCATGTGAAACTAATAATAGCTGTCTTTTACAGACCCCACAGATTCCACTTGTGCCCCAAATTATCCCCACCCACTTGACACATTTCTTCTGAATGGCATGGTTGTCCTGCTACGCTTCCAAGTGTCACAATATCGTCGCGTGACACAAATGAGATTCCACTTCCTCCATCCCTCCCTCCCTTCACTCTTCTTTCTCCCTCTACACTCAGAAGCTGAAGCACATGTCTGCTGTGCCCACTATCATATTGGCATTCTCATCAAAGGCCAAGTCCCACCGTTCGCCCGTCACGACGCCGTAGACCAACCGTGTACTGCTTCTCCAGCTCCAATTGCAATTCGAGCTGCTTTTCACGAGACATGATGTTATCTTGGCGGGACTCCGAGTGTCCCGTCGCCTCTCTGGTATAGGTCTCCTTGTCGCTGTTTTCAGAAGAAATATTGCCATCCGTACCAGCTGACTTTGTGCCGCCTCCCTTCAGGCCCTGAAACACGCAGTTGCAATTGAAATATCAAGACACTCAGGACCTGACCATGAGCATCATTAGCAAAGAATCTAGACCCCACATAATTCCCCAAATACAAATCCCTTTTTTTAAGTTTTTTTAAAATACAAATCTTATTAACAAAACAGAACTTAGCGAACAACGTCAAATATCGCTATGGATTGATGTTTTAGTTTTCTCTTGCATCATTTGCAGTCAGAGTACCTATGGTCATCACACATTCAGTAACCAACACCCACACCCCGCGCCCTCAGCTCGGTTCGTGTGTTTTGCTTAGAACCTACCCTAATCTGTTGTACTGGAATCGACCGACCAAAAGGTCACACAATTTGCTCCCAGAACCAAACGTTGGCGTAGGACAATTTCACGGATCGAGGTCGGAATGGGATCAGAGAGAGAGGGAGAAAGGGAGACAGGGAGAGAGGAGGAGAAGGGAAGAGAAGGAGAGAGGGAAAGAGGGAGAGAGAGAGAGAGAGATGGAGAGAGGGAGAGAGGGAGAGAGGGAGAGAGGGAGAGAGGGAGAGAGAACAACCACAGGAAAAGGAACCACCCCCGAAACAATCCTGTTCCTGAAAACCGCGCGAAGCGAACGAAACCCGGACACAGAGAAACCAGAAAGAAAAAGTGAAGCACCCCCAAAACAGTCGCCTTCCTGAAAACCGAGCGAAATGAAATAAATCCTTTCACAGGAAAACTAAGAACACAAGGCCACTCCCAAATCAGCCCCTTTAAAGATTGACCGAAAACAGGAGTCGTCCCTAAATCATCAAAACAGAAAAACTGGACACAAAAGAGTGAACAGATCTACTCCCTTCCGTAAAGGGTTGAAAGCAGTGACCGAGACTACAACACACAAAACTAAAAAGAGGAAACGAAAAGGCAAAAACCAACTACCCTTGGAATGTTTTTTTCTGTTTTTGGACCATTCCTTGACTTTTGTGTGTCATCCTTGTGCAGGGGCCATGCTTCGGGGAGCGAAACCGACCCGGCCGGAACTGGAGGCTTAGGGCGGCAGTCACAAATCGAAGGCAGCGGGTGCGGAGTTGCCAGCTCAGCTCTCTTTTAAAGGGGTGCTGGAGTCTACTGAGCATCGCAGCAGAGGTAGGCACGCCGCTTCGCGGCGGCCTCGCATCCGATTTCAATTGCGGTCTACTATTGGTTTTTGTTTGTGCATCTGGAACTCAAAAAAAAAAAAAAAAAAAAAAAAAAAAAAAACCAACAACAACAACACTGCACGTGAAATCAATGAAGGTGGCAAGCTGAAAGATTCCACTCTCAATGTATGCCCCAAAGGACCCCTTGTAGAAGGTAAGAAAAGGCAAATCAGTTTAAACAACCCATCCTGAAAATTTACAAAGGAGCCATGGTAAACAGCTTTAGTGCACTCCGTTTACGGAGGACCCATGTTCTCAAAGCCAGCATGTTGCTTTTCTGCCTTCAATTCTGTTGAACCTGTGATCGTAAGTTCGTCAAACCATATTTTTTTCACTTTTTTATTTGTTATAGACCATATTTTTTTCACTTTTTTATTTTTTATAGGTGCAAATTCAGAGTTACTTTACTCATCTGATTCCAGTTGGATTCGAACAGATGTCTGTATACCAACAGTTCAGGGGTGTGCCAACTAAGCTAGGCCCATCGTTTCATCAAACCATATTCGTCCTTCTTGCATCGAAAGCTTGGATCCAAAGATCGAAACCATGGCACCTGAAGAAGCAACCCCAAGGAAATATATATGTCTTCTTCTGTGGACGACCACACGTCCACCTGGTTTAGAGGCCACATCACGTGGCCAGACTGGAAGTGCCACTGCAATGTCTATACAGACGTATGACCAGCAAATATTTTATTTCCACTACTTTCCGGCATGAAGCAAGGTGTAGGCAGCAAATATTTTATTTCCCCAACTTTCCGGCATGAAGCAAGGTGTAGGCAATAAAAACTTTGAAAAAAAAACAAGCAAAAAAAAAGGTGTAGGCATATAGCAGCATAAGGCATGAGATGTCCATAGATCATCGCAGCAAACAGCACGACGGAAATGCCCACGACATAATATACGAAGAAGCGAAGAAAGGAAAGACAGAATTCACTTGCAATCAGTTATATGTGTGCAGGTCAAGATGAACATGGCAAGCACACGTGTGCATCCCGTGGTTTTAGGTTGTCTGCAGGTGTGTGGCGTCTGGGCAGAACCCGTGGCATTGACAGGAGCTCGGGCACATATGTTTGGAAGACTTACCATCAATTTTGCAAATTTCTGTTGTCTGCTCGGATCCGAAAAATGCGCCGCATCCCATCGGTTTGTTCCGCAGGCCACCTCGACTTCCTGCGTAGCACGAACGCACAGAGCTTGAGCTAAACATTTGGGGCAAATCGTGAACCTATTTACAACCCAATCGTTGCAAAGCAACTCTCTCTTCTCCAGTAACTTGACAATCTCCTGCCGGAAAGGGGCCACGGGGGTGTGGAAGGC